TCCAAACATAGGTGTCATAACCCAGCTTTGATGTGTGAATCGGCATATCATGGAGGGAAAAATATTGATCAGTAATCTGATTTAGAAAATCCTTTGTATCTCTTTGGTCCTACACTATATATATTTAAATAGATATGTTAATTGTTATAGATTAGAAAAAATAAACACAATAATTATGCTGAAAATTATATATTAAAATATATTAAAAATCAAGTTCAACTCTGGGCAAGAAATATGGATTTCCTGAAGAACAGTCTTACTGAAGGTATCAGTGAGTAGCATCATAGGGTTTTTAATGGAGAAAAATTGCGTGAGATATGATAAATCATCTTCTAACTAAGGAACATAAAATCATATGTTATTTCTTCCATTTCTTCAATTATTAATGTCTGTATGTCCTCTTGGAGCTTATTGCTATAAAATTTCTACAAGAATTATTCATGACAGATTCCAGAAACCAGAGATGACTGAGGCATACAGCAGAGCAGTGTAGAATATTCAAAAGTGTGTTTCAGGATGCCCAAATATATAACCTACTGAAAGCCAAGAGAGCTGAAGCGTGAGGGGAAAATAAGACAAACAAAGCTGACCAGGGAAACACAGGGAGCAATGAAAGAACAGATAAAGGCATACAAGACACATAAATCAATGGGGTCGTTGCTCTGAGCAGGGATAAACAAGTCTAAAAATAACCAAATAAAGGGATGATCACAAAAGCCAATGTTGAAAATATAGAGAAAATTGCAGAAGCTATAAGGACAAACCATAACAGATTTGACAAATATATGAGGAACAAGAGGTCAGTGGGAGAGACTGTCACCTCCATATGTGGTTGGGAGAGGAAGTCAGTGGCAGAGGCTGCTGGGAAGCCAGTGCTGCCTTTCCCTTGGTGTTCTTGCAGAGAGACCACAGGGAACATGCCAGAAACAGAGGGAAGTGTCCTGGAGGCAGAATCTGAAAAATTAATGAAACAAAGGATGGGAACAGAGCAGGTTAAGAAAGAAAAAGAAGAAAATAGGGCAGCTTAACAGTAGGCTTCAGGTCTGGTAGCCTGTTTTCCAGGTTTCTGAAAGACATGGATTTTATTTTTTTTTTTTAACTCTCTCACTCCATGAAGTCTACAGTACATGAAGTGTATTTAAGCTACGTGAGGTATACAGTTGAAAGGCAGAAGGAAGCCAGTGCAAGACAGTATTTTAAAGGTTTTAAAAGAAAAAACATTGCAGTAGTAGATTTATTAAGTGTAAATCCAAGTACAGACAAAACCAAATTCGGGGTTATATAATAACTGATTAAAATTAATTAGGAAAGAGTTTACAAAAGCTGAGTTGAAGTTAACTAATTATGGGACAAGGATAAATGGCTACAAATTGAAAGAGGGGAAATTCAGACTGGATATTAGGAAGAAGTTCTTCACAGTGAGGGATGAGATCCTGGAACAGGTTACCCATAGAAGTTGTGGATGCCCCAACCCTGGCAGTGTTCGAGGCCAGGTTGGACAAGGCCTTGAGCAACTTGGTCTAGTAGGAGGTGTCCCTGCCCACAGCAGAAGGGTTGGGACAATATTATCTTTAAGGTCTTTTTTAACCCAAACCATTCTGTGATTCTGTGAACTAGCATAATTGATTTCTTTGGAAAAATTGAATATTCCCAAGCCTTAGTGTTGGACCCAATAATTGAAATATGGAAATATTCGTTTTTGTAGTTGCTGATGTGTCCTCCATTTTAATTCTATGAGAACAGGCACTGAGAATAGATTAATAAAGTTATAAACTAAAGTCAAGTTCACAACTTTACTTGAATAGCTGAGTTGCAAATAGTTAATGAGATTTATAAAAACATCAAAGTCATCAGGCAGCTAACTGGAATTGATTTCCATTGCCATTTATGCATTTTCCAGGGGGCCCTGAATCCCAAGTAATGCCTTAGATTCTCACAAACTTTATAAAATATTGTGTAGAAGACCATAAAGCTGTGAAAAACCATTAAAGATGGCAAATCTGGCAGTAAAAACAATTTATTTCTACCTTTCACCAATAATTTCTATCTAAAAAATCATGCAGTTCTTCTGAGATGCCAATTCAAAAATTAAACAAAGTTCAAAACAAAATAGATGTTATTTATTATCCCCCTGTCCTCTGCCTCATTTCCTATGCTTTTGTCCATTCCAAAGTTTCTGTTTTGGGGCATTACTAGATGAAAACTGTTACAAGTATTTAGTGTTCTTAAATGAAAAGAGATTGGGGCAGGGAAGTGTTAATGTTCTGGCTTTAGAGTGACAAACTGGCCAAGGTTGGACGGGGTTTGAACAACCTGGTCTAGTGGAAGGTGTCCCTGCCCATGGCAGGTGGATTGGAACTAAAGTTCCTTCCAAACCAAAGCATTCTATTATTCTACTAAAAATTCAAGGTTGTGTGAATGTCAGTGGCCAAAAATTTTCACAGTTGCTCATCTACAGGTCCCCTTTTAGCTCAGACTCCCTGAAGTGTCATCTTTACCTCTTAAAATGTTCTAAGAGAAAGAAAGGAAATCCTGGGGATTTCTGGAGCTGAGCCTACTCACATCTTTGAAAATAAAGATCAGGATTTTGAAAAAATATAATTTAATGATAATGGCATTGAAGAGGTTATAGTGAGGGTAATATGCATCCCAAAGAAAAGAAACAGAAACCAAGAAAGCAATAAATGTTAACCTATCTGCTTAAATCAAATTGAACTGATACGCAAATTTCTAAAGTCTGCCTGAGCCTCAGGATGTGACCTCTTCCTGTTTTCCAGGAAGAAAACGCTATTAGACACCTAAATGAAACAGGTTGTTCCCTACTTGTCCAGACACTTCCCTGGGCACTACACATACTCTGAAATTCCATTTCTGAGGGAAAGCTCATGTGCTTTCTCTCGGAGCTCCATATGGAGAGTTTAAGTAGACAGCTACTGAAATCTCATAGTACCAGGGGAAACACTAAAATAATCCTAGAGTGGTCCAAACTACAACAAATGGTGCTTCCATTTTGCCCCAGGTTTTATGCACTGTCCAGACTGATGGAGATTGAATTCCTGTTTCTTCCTTAACTGTGATGATGTGGGATGTTTTCCATGGAAATATATCCTACATTTCCTCTAGGTTCTGGGTAGCTGGGTCCTAACCAAGAGAAGGACTCAGGACAAAAGGCAGAACCATCATTTGTCAGTGAGCAGTAATGGTGATATAGGGACAAGGATTTCTGCTATATTTATAGGTTTTACATTGAAGCATCTTTGGGTAGAAACAAATACAGTTCAAGGAGAAAATAAAAGAAACCTTCTTTCCAGGTTTATGGCTCTTAAAATTAGTGGAGGTTTGGGCTTTTACTTTACACCACTGCCTGTGGTGTATCAGAGTTTCTTGCATCCAGCTGCACCAGGGATTATCTTCTATAAGAGGATGCTCTTCCTCAGAGTATGCCGCACGACCTGCTGGATGGAGCATGGTTCTGGTATCTGGACATTATGGATCTATTCCCCTCTAGCCTGCACCAGTAGGCCTCAACTTTGATGTTGGTGTCTGGAAACCGTATCCCATTAGGACTGCTCTCCAGCTCCCAAGTGAGGCACATTGTAATCTGGCTGGATGGACACACTTAAAACTCATTCAGTATTTCTCTATAGCGTTAATGGAGGGAGGTGTTTTTAGGCATGCTGGATTAGACTTTAAAGACCCCTGCAGTCTCTACACAGAGACAGAGGGGTAGCAGTTTAAGTAATTGGGATGCAAAGCTGCTGGGATGCAATTAAGTTAGACCAAGATCAAGACCATGAAGACCATAAAGCACATCTGTAGCACTAAATGTGGTGAAAACTATTTTTCAGTGGCCTGTCAAGAGAATGGGAAGCATTATTAGAGTGGAAGAAGGTGATAAGAGGTCTTGAGTGTTTTGTCATTGGGATAAAGGGATCAAGAATATAATATAAAATGGCAAGTTATAAGTAGATATGCAGAAAGGGCTATAAAGAACAATTTAAATGTCCCAAAACTAGTTAATCACTTAAAGGAAGAAGACTAAAAACTGATATAGCTTGACTAATGTTTATAATCACACAATAAAAAAAGTTCAAAGAGAAACTTCTTTGAAAAAAAGTAATGTGTGAGAACATTTACTCTGAACAGGTTATAGAGGTTACATGGTGGGGGTCAAATTAAAAAAACATGGATCATATGACCTTAGAGAAGCAAGTGACTACTTTGGTGGAAGACCAGGACTCTGAAATACTATTTATGTTACAATGCATTGAAATGATTGATGAGGAAGTGGTACTCAACTTTGAAAAGTCTGACTTCCTTTGTCGACAAAGGATTTTTGTTTATTGTTTAATTTTTCTTCAGTGTGAGAACATTTGCAACACTGGCCATGAAAACTGTTGGTTTTGGTTGTGTTGAGGATCTTGCTTTCCTCTTTATCTGACCCTGTAGTGTAATAGAGCAAAACAGAGGAGAATTTAAGAGTATTCATGATTATTATTATTATTAATAATAATAATAATAATAATGTAACAACCAGCGGCATTAAGAATGTGGTCATATTTTCATTATTAAAACAGCATTAAAATATACCTTAACCTGAGCACAAACAAAATCTTACTGAATATTTCAAAATTATGAAGCATTACTGTTGTACTGATAGGTTACAGATAGGATAAGATTGCCGTTTTTTTTAACTACATTCATCTGCCTTAGAGTATTACATGTAGAAGAGAAAAAAGAATGAGAAAGAAAAACACACATTTGTATCAGTTCTGAAACTGTTATGCTGGCATGTGCATGTGACATTTTCAGGCAAGTAATAGTCATTTGCAATTTCATGGGTTTTATAAGTGTCCTCCCCCTTGGTCATTATTGTCTAAGAAGCATTTCACTTTCAAAACATTCATTCTGAGAACAGCAACATGGTGTAGAATTAGTATATATGACTAAATGAAATCTGGAGGATAGTGTAATAATTTACCTCTTTTCTTTTTACACAGTGTTTATGGATGTCCTTTGGCAAAAAAAAGAAAAACACAAGATAAACAACCCCAAGAACCAGCCCCCAAAAGAAAACCCTTTGTGGTTAAAGCAGACAACTCTTCAGTAGATGAGTGCTATGAAACTGATGGAACAGAGGAAATGGATGAAAAGGAAGAGGAAGAAGAGGAAGAGGATGAAGAAGAAGAGGAATATTCTGATGATAATGAGGAGCAAGGTGATGAGGAGGAGGATGATGAGGAGATAGATCGAGAAGAAGAAGAGGAGATTGAGGAGGAAGAAGAGGAGGATGAAGAGGAAGGTGAAGATGTGGAGGATGAAGAGGAGGAGGAAGAAGAGGAGGAGGAAGAAGAGGAGGAGGAGGAAGAACGTGGTAATAATCAGAGTATTAGTAAAAAGTAAACAATGTGTGTTTTCTGGGTTAATATTCTAGTGTGGTGTGTGAGGATTTAGCTGTGTGGTTCTCATTAAAGCTAATGGAAGTCATGCAGTTAAATCTCTCTGCTCCACACTGAAAATATACCCCACTGTGTTCTCCTAACATCTATTTTAATAAGTCTGTCTTCCAAATATTTTTTAATACACCAGCACTCACATTTCAAACAAGGAGGGTGGAGGTGTGTTTGTGCTAAAAATGCTTGCATAAAATGTAATCCTAGTACTGGATTAATGCATGCAGTTACCAGGAGAACATTCACAAAGGTACAAGCAAAGCATCGGCTACAGCTGGGTGCCTGTACTGATCGTTTGCAAGTGTGTTTGCTAGATCTGCTTATAGAATGTCAAAGATTGCCCACATAAATTCTGTCACAAGTTTGCAGATAATTTTTGTGTGCAAAAGTGGACCTGTTCCCTTCAAAAATTTTGCCCCATACTTCCCCCTACCCCAAGAAACTATTCAGAATTAACTATTATAATATACTTTGATTCTTTGAGACTTGAATGCTGTGTGCTTTAGTTGATTCTAGTAAAAATATAGAGAGTGACAGGTTTACATCAATAACGTCTTTCTAAAATGTATGTATTTTGGTTATCATACCATGGCATAAATGCCATTTAGACATACAGGTCAGTGGTAGTAACTAAATTAATGCAATAGCAATGTGATTAGCCTATTCAGCTTTCTCTTTTTTTGGGATATTGGACTTTACATAACCAGTACTTTCAAAATATGTGTTTAGTGTCCATTTACTCAAGAGTCCATATGCTGATGACAGACATCATAATGCACTGGGGTGAAATGAAGGAATCATGCAAAAATTAATGAGCTATCTAAAAAGTATTTTGTTCCCATTTTCAGGGAACACGTTTTTGGTTGGGTAGATTCACCTTTCTAACCAATAAAAATATAAGAAAAGCTTTCAGCACTCCTCAGTTGGATTCCTCTTAGGAACCAGGTATGAAAGTTGTATGACTTTTGTTTCAGCATTCTGTAAGGTCAGATCTTAAATCTTAAAGAAAGACTTTGAAAGTATTCTTTCCATTTGGGCAAGATGGTGGCCAGCTGGGTGGCTATAACATTTTCTCAGATACTGCATCTGTAGCATTTCCTCAATTGCCTGAATTTGCCACAAAATTGGTAGAGAATAAATGGTGAGTCTTAAAAGTTACATGAGTTTGATGCAACAGGGAAGCCATTTCCTTTTGCAGGGAACTCTGCTGTTTCAGAACCTGGAAGAGAAGCTGTGTTAAATTAGGCTGATGTGCAGCTGCTGTTGCTCTCCTGGTGGGCAAGCACAGGATGTCCAGCAGTTTCTTTAACAAATCATGGTGACTGAGTTTGTTGATGCTTAGGTTATGGTGCAACTGCTGCTGTGATTTCAGCTGACATTAAAAACTTTGAATCTACACTATCAAAAATTATAAAAGGAAAAGAAAAACCCTAAGCAAAACTCAAGAGCTCAAGAAAATTGTTTCTGCCAAGCCAGCAGGCTTGACACTCAGTTTATTTTTCTAAGATAATGAAACACAGTGGTTTACTTATTCCAACACAGTTACACATGCAGTTAGTGGTCCTAATCAATGTGAAGAGGCTGACATTGCTTTTTGACTGCTTTCCTTCCATATATAGTAGGCTGTGGTTAAGAACTGCAAAAAAATCACAAAGGTACCTCTGTAGCTGCTCTGCATATTACCTGGAATTAAAACTTATATAGGTCAAGTTTTTCTTTGGATTCCATGCTATTCCAGTAATAAAACAAATGTACATTAATAAATATATATATATATATTCTAAGTAAAAAAACATTAAGAAAAATTCTTCATAAAATTGGAAAAGTGATAATAGAATTTTATTAGAAAGGTATTTAATGATCCTCTTCAGTATCGACATAGTTATCACTACGCAACAGTCCCAGTTAGAGCAAGATTTATAAGAAAGAATTCCTAGCAATTAATGAAGAAGGCGGTATGGAGTTCCTTATGTCTATGCCAAGGAGTGGAGAGTGATAACAGTTTGGTTTTGGTGAGGTCTAAAAGCTAATCAATAAATCAGATTTTTTAAAATAGTATATTTCCTATTGATTCCAATAGGGATCCTGAAGTTTCACTTTATTCTTCTTGTAGCAAAAGTTATTGGTGGAATTTGGACTTCTGATTTTCTAGGGAAAAAGAGTGCAAAATTAGGTGTTCTTAAACTTTATGGTCTAAATATGACTCTTGCCTTTATCTGTTGACTACATGGAAAACTAGGTCTCTCAGCTATGAATTTAGTTATTACAATCACTTACTGCTCACTACAATGTAGGTATTGTAGCAAACCACCCTGTAAGTCATCTTAGCAGGAAGTCTGAATGTGTCTTAGTATTCCTATCCCTAGAAACAAAATGCAGAATTTATCCACTGGTCACCAGCATGTCTGACAGTTCTCAAAAAGGTTTCTGTCATTGGTTGGTGCTATAGCTCATAGCAGTTCAGAAAATTTCCGTGAGTAACTATAGCCTAGGTGAACAAAAGAGTTGAAATCTTGAGTATTGGTGACAGAAGGTTAAAATCATAAGTATTGGTGACAGAAGAATTCCTCAACAAAGATAGAATAGGACTACAGAGGAAACAATTGGGGAGGATGGGGAAGGGAGAGGGTGAGAGCGTATGGGTAATGGTATTTTACTGGTTTTTAGGCCAAATTCAGTTTTCTTTTAGAAAAGGGTAAATCCTGTGAAACAGAGGTGCATCACTGGTGTGTCATTGCCCATACTTTTTTGGTTTAAGAGAAAGTGAATTTCAGGTGGGATTCTCAGAGGATATAGGTAATATAAAGGTAATGTAGATAAACAGTTCTTATTGAAAATACTAGAGCATTCACTGAAATCATCATAGCCTTTGAAAATTGCATCTTTGTAGCCTTGTCATTGATAAACTAAAGGACTTGGAGAACACAGATGTATCCTTAGGAAACAGTCTCACAAATCTCAAAATAACAAGTTAAAATTAAAAGGAGAAAAAACCTCAAACTATTTGAGATGAGTCCCAAATTCTGTGCTCGTTTTTCTGTACGCAGTCCTTTGAACCAAAATAATTGCTTAAAACTCTTGATCAATGGCTAGCATACCCTCTTAAGTTTTCCATTAAATCTGAATCTCTCTGAAGAACAGATATCTGTCCATCTATCTGAGAAGACACTTGAAAAACCCTTATATTCAACACATCCACTAAAGGAAAGATGAATCTTTGTTATTTCCCTTATATCCCAGGAAAAAATGACAGATAGGTGACCTGTGTTATGATAACATAACCTGTAAGTTGCAATACAAATGGGAAGGAGTAAGAGTAAACACTGCTTTTGGAGCGCCCCTTCTCTGTGATGACAACTGCTGAGAACCTTTGGAATTCAAAGGAGACACAGTACAGGTTTTTTAATAATAAAAACTAGCATAGGAACATAGGGATAGATATTCTACCTGTTTTCTTATTTCATAGCATCATAGAATTGTTTAGGTTGGAAGAGACCTCTAAGATCATCAAATCCAACTGTATTTCTTTAAATTATAGGATTGTTTTTAAAAAACTCGTAATATATTTGTGTTTTTTCTTTTACTTGCATAAACTCAATGCAGACAGATAGACCCTGAAAATAAGAAATATACCTGGAAGCTCTGTTAAGACTGTTAGTGCCCTCCACTGTCTTCCTTATCCCCTCTGAAGTGCTTCTGAAGTACTTATGTCCTCTAAGCTAGAGGAGAAGCAAATATCAATTTAAAAGATGAAAGAAGCTCATGTGCTGAGGAAAGCATGGTGGCACACAGCTTTCCAGCTGTGCATGCTGCTGAAAACACTCTTGATAAAGTAAACATCTTCATAAAATGAAGACAACATATCTGTATTAGCAAGGTTATCTGTCAGCCTGCTGACCACTAATCATATTCATTTAGTTAAACTGTTAGCAGGAAAGTGGTCATCTGTTTGGTGAACACAGTGGGTGTTCAGTATTAATCAGAGCAGGGAGCTACACTCACGTGTACCTCACAGGAAAAACACCTAATAGAAGTAAATTATAGCTTTAAATTAAGAAGCCAGAAAGCATAATTTCACTGCTTAGGGCAATATATATGGAAAAAAGTTTATTTTCCAAGGCCAAAGAAGACTAAATAAATACCAGATGGTTACAAGGTGAAGCATATCTACACTCTGCTGTATTGCACCTTGATAAAGAATATAGCCTTTGCTTAGAGTGTCTCATCAATAATAATCTGAAGAACAGAAAAAAACTAGAGTTGCTGTGGAAGACATTTATCCTGGCCACTGCATTGGTGTCCCCTGGATAAGAAGTTAAAGTTTCCTTTCTGGTGTAGTTATGAAGTGCTCCAGCCTGGGAATCATTGGGTCAAATGACATCATAAGAACTTTTACTGATACCTTCTTTTTGCATTGAAGATGCAGGTGTTGTGCTGTTTAGCTGGTTATCTTTCCTATAGAGAGATTCAGACTAAGCATTTTTGCTGAAATTTTTATTTTTTAAATAATGCATTTAAAATGTTTGGAACAGGTAGTTCAGAGCTGGAAATCTCAGGGTTGATGGAGTAGGGTGGGGAAACTGCTAGCTGGTGAATACCCTCTGGATACTTTTAGTTCTTGTGGGAAAAGTTCAGATCATTTTATTACTGTTATGATGTGTTTATAGTTGTTTGATTGATTGCTTAAATATGACTCAAGCGTTAGTTTAGTAAACTTTTGCTTACTGCTGAGTTCCATCCTCAAGGTCTTTGCTCTTTGCTGCTCATAGACAATATAATTTAAACTCATGAAACGGCATTATTTAAGCATTATTTTCTAATTCTCTGAAGTGAGACTGGGTCTGATGCTGAGCTTGTTTGCATCAAGACAAATTAAGAGTAGCTTTATGCCAGTAGAGTTCTGTTTACATGAGATGGG